TAGTAGCGATGGCCTCCACCCTAGTAGCTTCTTGCTCCGAATAGCGACGGCCTCCAACCTAGTAGCGATGGCCTCTCAGGGAAATGTGCATGTCGATTGGTCTTGTGAGTCTTGCCACGTGTGCCTGCGCTCAGCAAGCTGTCCTGGAGCAGCCAATGGGGCGCTTGCAGGCAGAAGCACCCACCAACCTCCGGACCTCAAGATCCAACGTTGCAACGCTCCAAAGGTCTGCATGCTCGGGGCGCAGCCCAAAGTTTCTACCAAATATGGGGAGAAGGTTCAGAATGTCCGGGAGGCGCATCCACATCAACTTGGGCTTGCAAAATTACATGCTGACATGGTCGTGAACTGGATGTTCAACGTACGGGGGGGTTATGCATCTCTGCTGTCTAAAGTGCCAAGTCAGAATGGGTTGTACCAACATGAGGTGGTGCAAGAACCACCCGATGATCCAAGATCCTGGTACATACGAACCTCCCAAGCCTGGCATTGCAACAACTGCCCCCGAAACTGGAAATGCTCCCCACGGCGCACAAACAAAATGTTCTTTTCCGATCAGACAGGGTCAATGGATTGTTGCACCAAGGGGAGTGGGCAACCTCAGTTGGGGTAAGAAGTCCTAGGATTTCTAGTTCTCGGGAGTCTCTTGAGGCTTTCTCCTTAAAAAAACACAAAACACAGACCCCCAACTTCCACAGCTGTGGCAAACATGTTTTTGGTTTCTTCCTGGTCATTGCAAATGAATATATGCACACTTGCCCTCGGTGAAGAACAATCCAACGAAAACCCCAACAGCGCAGGATCGCAAACATGCCGCAGATCTTCGCAGGCAATTGCTGCTCTAACAACCCTGCTTGCAGCTGTCACTGCCACGTTTAACATGAGCAGGCGACTTTTCGCAGCATCTTGTGTGCCGTTCTTTGGGCTGCAAGTGGGGACCAGGTTCCAGAACTAGGGATATCACAAAGGATGTCATGAAATCCATGGTCTTGAACAACGAACTGCTTTCAAAACGGAATTTCAGTCCTTCGGGAATGTCCGTCCAAAACAGGACCTGAGGCGCCAAGAGTGTTCCTTCGGAGTCTTTCCCGAACACCACAACTGGCAGGGAAAGACGAGCTTTTGTGCTCTTTGCTCCTAGTAGCGTCCTTGCTCCTAGTAGTAAGGCCAGGAGCCCCTAGTAGCGTCCTGTTCCTAGTAGAAATGCCCTTTGCTCCTAGTAGCGTCCTTGCTTCTTTAATGGATTGCTTTTCTCAAAACTCTGAGCTCATTGGCGCTGGGCCTGCGTTCCACTATATCTCTGAAGCGGAGCCAGTTCACTGCAGAGCTTTGCAAGCAAACTGCTCTAAGAGGTAGCTAGTTGCAAAAAATGCAAAACAACCTCTTTAATATTATATATTTGTATTGGTATAATGCTTCGCGTTGGCGAAGTAGCGGAAGTGTCCTTCATCTATTACCAAATAAGAGCCGGATTACCCCACACGAGCGTCTGCCAAAATGTACTGTCAAGCAAAGGACATGATTCAGCAAGGTTATCGCTTTTGAGGGGGCCTAGCGCTTTTGCAGGTTTTAGCAACAATGTCAACATAGCTGAACATATTCAAAAACTGCGGAAATATGATTATCGCTTTTGAGGGGGCCTATCGCTTTTGCAGGTTTTACCCCAATTCATGAGATTCACGACTGCTCTTTACTAAATTGGTCATTGCACGTGCAATGGCGGTTGCTCACATGTCCAGCTTGCCTTTGCATTGGAAAGCAGAACGGTATCGGAGTGATAGCGGATGAGGCGATGATGGCGGATGGTGTGATGCACATACGGATGTGTGTGTGCGTATGATGTTGGTGTCGTATCATTCAACAGCTTCTTCGTAACATCAATCTTGCAAAGCATTTTCAGAAGTTTGATGTTAACTTCTTGGTCTTGAGAGGGTGTGAGTTAGAGTTCTGAGTAAGATTGTGTCAGTGAATTTGTGTGTGTGTAAGTTGGTGTGAGTAAGTTCGCGTCTGTGTAAGTTGATGTGGCTAAGTTAGTCTACAAAGCAGCAAAACGCCGGGGAAGAGCGGCGGCGTGCAAGTTGATGTGTGTCAGTGGTGTAGGTTGATATGTGTGTGTGTAAGAGTTGACGTTGCTGCGTGCAAGTTGGTGTTTGTTCCCAGTGTGTAAGTTGTGGGAGGAGGAGCGGCGGGAGGAGGAGTAGGACACTAGGTCACTAGGCGGAGGAGCGGGATGCCCACACTATCATGTGGAAAACAAAAAACATGTGTCATGTGGGATCTAGAGGTTCCAGCCCAACAACCATCCCCACAGGAGGGCACCCGCCTGAAGTGAAAATGTGTGGGAATCCTACATATCCCAAACCCATGTCCAGCCGGAGGGTCACAGACACTGCGAGTTATACATGGATGATTGTGGATTACTGCCAGACAGGCCAGACAGGACAGGGGGGGTGACCAAAGCGATGGAATCGAATCTTGCAAAGAGATGGTCATGCAGAAGAACTGGCTCTCCGGGTGAACTACTCATCCTCAAAGTGGATTGTGATTCGAAAGTCTGCCGGCGTCAAGGCGTGCCGGCCTGCATCGCGCTGTAGCCCATCCACGCATGCCTTCGGCAAGTCCAGAAGCAAAATCCTCCTCGGAATTCGGTTGGACGCCATCACTATACGAGGTGGGAGGCCATCACTATACGAGGTGGGAGGCCATCGCTACTTAGTAGGTTGGAGGATGCAAGAAAAACAACATGATTCAATTAGAAAAGTTGGTAGCTTCAGGCTGAGTACTGGCACAATTCCTATTTGGGCTTTGATCCATTCCTCTAGGCCTGGTGAAATCCTGCTCAGGGTTTGTACAGGAGGCTCTCACACCAAACACCCGCATGCCATATCAGGACGCACATGAGATCAAAAGGGTCAGCTGAGCAAACTCTCTTGAAACACGACATCTTTTGCCACAAGTTCCAACACTTCCTTGCGGAAGTAACCCGAGAGTCCCCCCAGGGCCCCTTTTGGATCTCCTATCGTCCACCATCTGCCGCTCCAAGAAGGCGTGGTGCCACCAAGCTTTCATGCGCAACTTCCGATTCAGGAGCCCCGCGTGCCAAGTCCGACGGGACACCTGCAGCGCTGCACTTGCTGTGACTGCACTTGCGGCACCCCAGTAGATAGAGCTGTTCCAACCCCACACACGTGTTCGTTCCGTCCGACTCGGTTCAGGCGGTGGATGCTTCGGTTAACGCTGCTCTCGGCGGTGCGACCGCGTTCGGTGCCCTTTCGTCGGTGCCCTTTCGTCGCCCCGTGTCGCCATGCCATCCGCCTCCAAGGTCAAAGACATCATCCCATCGGCCTCGTTCCACCAGGGCCTCAGTGAGATGAATAAAGTTACTTAGTAGCGATGCCCTTGTTACTGTAAAGAAAAAGAAGATCCCTTTTGCGAGGTCTTGGAAAACTGTCCCTCCGACATTTTCTCAAATGTCCCATCTTGTGGCCAACTAAAACGGCCTTTGATGGTTTTTGATGCCTTTTGGGGGTCTGGCACATTGCCGCTTTCCGCTTTGATGCATCCCACGGTCTTTCCGCTCCCACGAATCGATCGATCCATCGAGCATCGCCGTGAAGTGCAAAAGATCGTTGCAGGTGGACAGCTGAAGGTAGAGGCGATGCACCGCCTGAGGGATGCCATCCTGACGGCTCACCAGCGCTACCTGACAGCGTGAAGCTGCAGGTGTTGGCTCCTACCCTACCAGCTCTACAAACATCTGCGCGGAATCTACATGCTTTCTACAGTCATGCTCGGCTGCATGCTGCTCTTTGCAGCTTGCTTTCTGTACTTTGATGGGAAGTGATGGGAAGGATCATGTCATGCAGCCAGTTCGATGGTTTGCAGGTTCCTCAAATCAGGACCTAGAGCAAGGGATACCAAGGGGGGATGTGTGTGTGTGTTGTGTGTGTCTGTGTCTGTCTGTGTGCGCTCACGCACACACGTGTTCACCATGTGCAAGTTGGAGCTCTTTAGACCTCTCCCGCCTTGACTTTCACAGGGCCCTCCAGCCCTAAGTGGCTAAACTGAATGGCACAAGGCCTGTAGCGCCCAGTGGACGGGCCCATGGGGTCACTGAGCAGCTGAACGCCCTGCTCCAACCAAGTCTCGAACCTCATCTGGCCGGGACACATCCTACTTGGTGTGATCAATCTGAGCAAATGATGGAGACCTTGATGCGCTTCCTAGAGTACTCTAACCACTCACTTTTTCTTCCAACCTGGTAACCTGATAAGCGGCCAAATGAAGGCGGCCCCCCCAAAAAAAGTAGAAAGTGCACCAGAGGAACAGCAAGAACGACAGTAGATCCTCGTGGTGTTTTGGCGGTTCAAAGATCAAAAGATTAAAAAAAAGGAGCTAGTGCTAGAAACCTTGGTTCTTGGTTCTTTTGTGAGGCACTAGGAAAGCTGAACGGTCTGGAAGTTGTACTTCACTCATCACCATCTCTTGTTTATACTGCATGGGTTCTTCTCGGAATAGAGGCTGAAGCGCCAGAAAGGGGCTGCACAGTTGTATAAGCTTGCTGCCCAAAGAACGATAGTGAGCATCCAACAAAAATGAAACATCGTGAAGTTGGCCACGATGAAACGCTTCTGAAAAACGACGGTTGAGGACACGGATCGAAAAAATCACGATTGAGTGATTGAGGATTCAAGATCAAAGCAGTTTCACAAGATGGTAGAGGAAAAATGCACCTCCAAAGGAGATCGTTTCCAGGCACAAAATGGGAAAGTTTGGACTCTAAATGATTTATGGATATCGCTGGTCGCTTGTGATCCTTGGAGTGCGAGGAAGATTTTCACTGGTTTTCTGTGTCGTTTTTGGTATGGCCTGGCGTGTTCGCATCTTGCAGTGTGATTGGCGATGATTTGCTGCGAGTTTTGCACCAGGCAGGAGCAACAAAGTCGGCTCTTTCAATTCACTTTGCACAGTGGGGGGCCTGACAAAGGTCAGTACATGGTATTATGGGGGGGCGAGCTCAGTTGGCAAAAACCATCAGAAAATTGGGGGTTGGGGCACTCGTTTGACTGTTCAAGTCTGAACCCCACCTGAAATTGTAAACAACAACTTCAGCTGACCTACTGCTGGGCTCGCCTGGAGCAGTGAACAAGTGGAAATGGTTCTACACCGCTGGCCGTCTGACACATAGAAAGATTTTGGCTTGGACCAACAAAAGGGTTGGAGGCCATCTCTATTCCGTTGGAGGCCATCACTATTAGGTTGGAGGCCATTGCTTGTCTTGTTTGTCCTAGACCTTTCTTTATATACTATATATACCACTGCATGTACCAATTCTTTGGACCCAAGACACATAGCAATCCATCGAATCTGCGAAGGGATCGTCACTCCTGCGCGTGTGCCGCCACGAACGTGCCCGAACCAGCGGAGAGCGTCGCGGGCGGACAGCACGGCACCAGCGTAGAGGAGCAACGCACAGATCCTCGGAGCATTGGTCGGATCGTGCCGCCTTCTCCGTGAAACGAAAGCAAAGAGTTGCAGTTCTGGTTCTGAAAGGGAGAACTGAGATGGTGCAAGAAGCTACCAACGTAGCTCCTGGCCTTACTAGGAACAAGAAGCTACCAATAACAAAGGGCATCGCTACGAACGGAACGATCGGACGCTACGAACGGAGATGAAGCTTTCCTGCAGATGCGCGAAGCAGACGACGCACAACCCCAACGATTTGTCATGCCAGGGCTCATAGTGCCGGAGCGACCTTTGCCAGCCTTGCGGCTACAACGCGACTCAGAGATACTGAGAGGGTCGGTTGGGACGCACGTCGGATCACCGTTCTCTCTTCAGCACCGATCCGGAAGCCCGTTTTCATCCTACAGCTTCCTACCTTGCTCCTTCACAAAAACATGATAGATGTTACAAAAAAGCGGTCAACAATGAAATGAAATGTGAAGCAACTTTGTGGGTGTTTATGTCACAGGTCGTTTTTGTATCGACCAGCGCCTTGCAGTGAATCGCAGCAACATTTCGCTCATCCACTTTCAACCAGGCCTCCGGTTGGGAGGTCTTGCCAGGCAACATGGATGAGATGATGAGATGTGCTTTTTTTACGACTTCTCTAGACTCTAGAAGCACATTTGTGCGCCTTTCAAGGGAGGTTTATATACATCCGTTCTTCAATTCCAAAGAACTTATGGTGAGGATGACTTGGAGCAACTTTGGAAATCAGCTGGTTGAGCGTCGAGTCCATGCTCATGATCTCGGCGTAGAATTCTATTATACACCCCATCCAGAGGTACTAAATCCGTCTGAATCCAACACTAGCAAATGAAGAGGGACATGTCTGCAAAAAACTCTTGGGGCACGTCTTATTAATATCCTATAGGTTACCTGACATGCACAAGGAAAGTTTGCAACATCAAAACAATTCTTGTAGCTTTTGGAGAAAATCCTGAGGGCTCACCACGAATCACATCAAATCACCAATAATCCACTTTGTGCCTCTACATCCCGGCAGAACTCGAGTATCTTCGAGAACTGTGGGGGGCAGTGATCCGCGCACGGAAAGTGGATCGTTTCATCGGGAAAGCCATTCTCCTCGGTGGTCAGCCGTCTGGCCCAAAGGACGTCAGCAATGGTGGAAAGAACACAAACAAAACGCCAGAGCACGACTTCCTCTGCAGAAGTAAATAAGAATATCAGAATGTCGTAGAATGTACAGTAGACCTCTATATATTCTACTCTATCTTGGTGAAGAGTCAAGTCTTGGTTTTGATCTTTGGTACTTAGTACTTGACCGCATGTGAGCTTGTACCCCTGGGTCACTCGCATGTTCGGTCAGTGATTTGTGTGAGGCACCCTGAAGCTTCGCTCTGCACAAAGGTTGTAGATTCGGAAGCAGCCGTCTCCGTGCGCCCATCGAAGAAAGCGCTGGACCTCGCTCTTTCTCTTTCTTCAAGTGTTTCAAGAGCTTCGTGCAAAAGCACAAGCAAAATGGAAGCAGTGAGCAAAGTTTGGCAAAGCTCCAACATCGCAAGAGGCATCGTCAAGCACTGACTTTTGAACGCGCACCTCGGTCACCTTCGGCAAAAGGCAGAAAGAAGTCTTTCTTTACACTGTGCGTCCCGCTCCGTCTCGTGCCCCACCCCACCGCACCTCACTCTGAGGATTTCGAAAGCAGGCGCCGGAGCTTTTACCAGGAAAGCCCATGGCAATGATCTTCGACGTCACCTCAGGCAGACAAATGAGGTCGGTCAGATCACTGGATCGTCGCTCCGTTCAGCAGTCCGACTTCCTTCTCTCTCGGGTTCCAAGACACATATGCCAAGTCCAGGTCGAAGCCGTTGGAGACATAGCGGCACCGGCTGCCCGCGACCTGAAACCAGGTTCTGAAGGGGGGTTCAAAAAGGAGTGCCTTTCTTGAAGGTAGGGTGCAGTAGAAAATTGTAGGAAAGCCTTTTAGGTCTTTAGCAACTTTTTTTTGCTTGCCCTTCCTTGCACACCTGCATTACATGGCAGACTCCCAAAACTTTCCCCTGCCTTGCGGCGCATCCATCGCCACAGTCCTGTGCTCAAGAGCCCCAGTCGCTCCTGGACCAACGGCCGGTGCACACCGCGCACACCAGAGTCCAAACTGACGGTGCAAACTGCGTGATCGCAAAAAACGCACAGGAAAAGCGCAACCAAAACAGCGCAAACAACTTCCCATCATCTTCAACAACTTCCTAGTAGAAACAAGTCCCTTACTCGTAGTAACAGGTGCCTTACTAGTAGTAACAAGAAGCTATTAATTTAATGTCCCAGCGCAATGGACCTGGGAGCCCCTCACAAAAACCGCACGCCTGGGAGCCCCGCTTGCGTGCAGTACCCAGCCAGTTCTCTTGAAGCAACTCCTGCACAAACCAACTGCCCCAAACACACAATCAAAGGGCAACACGGAAAGGTGCAGCTTAACAAGGCCGTTCTTGCTTGGTGACGAACCTACTCACAATCGGAGGAGGCATCGATGTGTTCGCAATGGCTCATTGTGGAACAATAGTGGTGCCCAACGCTGTTTAAGGACTTTGGACCCGTACGAGAATCCCGGTGGCCTTTCCGTGCTTACTGAGGTTTCAATAGTTCCAGTGAAGTCTGTGATTTGGTAAGACCATGCGCACATAATTTCTGCTGATATCATTCAGCTGATCAACTTCAAGCAATTCTGGGATGCACTCCAAATGGGAGTCGCACCCAAGATTTCACCAAGCAGCACTTCCGCATTCTTCAAAAGAAAAATGTAAACATGTGTGTGTATATAATGGTATCTATATATATAAGTCATCCAGGATGACCATGATTTTAGAATCAAGAGTGTGCGCGAAAGCATAAGTTCCAAAAAGCGAAGTTCCAGTCAGTTCCAGTCAGACCAGTTCGTCTACATTGGCGAATGGCCCAGGGGGCGGAAATCGGGGAAGCCCACAGTCTCAAAGTTTCCATATTTAGATTAGCTCAAAGTCTCAGGACTGCTAGTGGCTCAGCAGAAAAAAAAATCACATCAGTAATTGCAGGGCTTTGGAATTGCAGTGCTTTCTGTTGTTCCTCGAATACGCAGGCAACACCTGATTCCGCCCAAGAACATGGAGAAATGTCTGGCCCAGTGGCACCCAATAAAGTGCTCCGGAAAAGCAACAATTGAAGTTGCAATAGTAATATCAATATATGAAGAACTGGGCTGTTCTCTGGAAGCCTGAGCCATAAACTCAAGGCTGCCGAGAGAACATGACGATTTCAGACCAGAAAGCAGTGCCGCACCAAGCCATTTGGGTCAAAGACACATGCGAACACGCTGAAAGATTCAAAGAGCTCATCAACGAAAGGCAACAATTCTGGACTCCTGCCCAGAATTGTTCCTCAAAGCCCGTGGCTTGGTGGACGACAACTAAGTCAGTGTTGTCTTCACATCCTTTGGCACAGGAGATTCACTCCTTCTTCTAAGGTCAATTTGTGAAATGACGGGAAGGATGTGTTTCCCTTTTCTGAGAATGTCCTGATTGTCATTTCGCTCCGTTTTCTTGTAAGAAGTGAAGTCTGTTCCGCTACTTGGCAAAGCCTTCGATCTAAGATCCTCAAACATTCCACAACACTTTCACGGAACTACCCGCATTTTCTCAATCAGGACATGCTCACCCGCCATAAAAAAAGAAAGGGTTTTCCTGCGCTCCGTCCAGACCCCTCCAGATCCCCCCAGATCCCCATCGCAATGATGTCACGTTCAGAATTGCCCATGAAAGGTTAGGCTCTGGATTTTCCGGCTTAGAGCCGATACTGAAGCGATACTGAAAAAGCACGGCTTCGTTTCACGCTGCACCACATACTTCGAGCTCCAATCCTCGACCATTTCAGAGACGTGGAGCACGAACCGTGCGCGCATCGCATGAGAGACGGCGAGGTTACACACATTTGACCGAACGAAGAACATCCTGCTTTCGGTCATGTGGAAAGTGGAAAGGATGTCGACGTTTGGCCATTGGAAAGAAGATGAATAGAGATCTCCTCTGGCAAGAATGTCTCATGGGGGTGCCTTCAATGGATATTTCCCACATATTGCCCTGTGCCGTCTTTGCGCTTCAAGGTTGAAGGCAAGTCGCTCCAGGGGCCGAGCTAAGCACACCGATCGAAACACACCGAGACGGAGATGTCATGACACGATCCACACAACATCCTGGGCCGAGCTGCGCTTGAGTCCTGCTGCCTCACCAATCACGCCTGGGTCATTCTCAACCTTCTCCAAGTACCGGTCAAGCTTAGCCTTGGAAATCACCCCACTAGGACTTTTTACAAAAAAAACAAAAAAAAACTCTTGTAGTGGCGCGGTGGCATTCTGTTCGCTTGATTCATCAGCGCAATCCCATTTCAACCACCCTGTTTTGGCGGAACATAGATCATCTACCCACAGTATAGTATGAGGCTGCCCAAAGAGTTCGCAACAACACCTACGGGTTGATGGACAAACCATCATCCACTTGCGAACCATCTGCAACCAGAACCACATGTTTCACTTGCAACCACTTGCTATTTGCGCTGCATCGGTGACCACCGGTCTCCACCGGTCTTTGTCCAAAGAACTAACTAATTCAACTACACTGTCGTTTTTGGAATAAAACACACTATGTACCTGGAAGATCAAGAGCTAAAACAACTTGTTGAGCAAGGGCAAGCGGGCCAAGTGCCCTTCGTGCATCGTGCAATTTGGCGGGAAGGCTGCTCTCATGCCATGAGGAGGTTCTGGCCAGTGCTCTGTGAGGAAGGAGCCTTGGAAGGGTTCCCTCTTCTTCGTCCAGGAGGAACAACTGGTCCAACACTTCAATGCCAGGACTTATTGGAGAGGGTAGGAAACCGTGATCCGCTCCCTTAGAGCCACCCCCGCTTGTAACACTTCAATTAAAAGTTTTTGCTTCACACAAGTCAGAAGCTTGTGAGGTCCAGCAAGGGAAGATGGAGGTCAACATTGTCTGCACCGTCAATGACCATACCAGGCATCCTCGGATGTTAGAAGTATCCAGGGCTATACAAGCAAGCAAGCAAGCAAGGAAGGAAGGAAGCAAGGAAGCAAGGAAGCAAGGAAGCAAGGAAGCAAGGAAG